CCCCAAAACCCCAAAACCCCAAAACCCCATTGTAGTAATCAGTTTAATCAAACTTGAAATGCAATTTAATTCTTAAATTTATAATGATTCATTCATCGTCTTCAAGTTCAGGGATAACTTGCCTGCATGATGGACATTCAAGTCTAATCTCCATCCATTTCTTAAGACACTAGACGTGGTACTTATGATTACATGGTGTCTTCATGTAAAACTTAGCTTTTTTAGTAGGAATAGCACTGATTCCAAGTCCATTTGTATTGTCCACTTCAAAAATAATCTAATTCATGCAAATTACACATTCCTCTTACTCATTAATCTCTAATCTCTCAACATCTTACGGAGTAGGGTTCTCAGGTTTGTCAATAATTTTATGAAAATAATTAAATGCATTACGATTAATTCTAAATCTCTTTGGAATAAAAAATCTCGGCCCAATTTTCTACTACAAAAATACAATTGCAATTTAGCCCAATACATATAAAATAAAGACTGCTGAGAGCCTGTATGTAGGCTCTCTGTCGAATAAATTTTGTGGGCAGGCTCTTTGATAAAATGGCATAAAAATATGATTAAGAGTCATAATAAGCACATAAGGCATGTCAGGACCTTATCTAGATTTCTTTTAATATGTTCTGATTATTTATGGTATCCACAGTGATCCATTTAAAAGCAGCAGAGCTTCATCGATCTCAAGAATATATCTATTTAGAGAATAGAAGAATATACAAGTAAAATCTATGAATAAGTTTATAATTAAAGTATTGAGCTTACAAAATTGACAATAAAATATGAATAACTTCCTTCTTAAGAATGTTTGATTCTAAATAAAATTATAACAATAAAAAAAGTTACATCTCTAACTGCAGACTCATGCTATATTTTCCAACACCAAATGAATAATCTAAACTAGAACACAAAGCAAATCAAAAAGTACCAGAAGGCAGGCAAAGACAAATAATGTAGATACTAATAATTATTAGAATGTATTGTGCTTACAGTTTTTGAGAGTGCCATCTCAAAATGAATATTAAAATAGCAAAAATTCCATATAATACTTAGGGCTTATGTGCCTACAGATAGATTGATAGAAACTGTATTCATCGACATAGCTTTTTTGATTTAGGTCATTATTATATAGGCAAAAGCCATGCATATCACTGTTATCACAAATGAGTAGTTGAATATCTTCCTCATCAAATCCTATTATTTATATTTTAGAAGGAATTACATACTTCCATTGACTGCTGTTTTAGATTAATTTACATATTCTGAACGAAGCATTTCGCTTTATTAAGTTCAGATTATTTCAGGGTTATCATAAGGTATCTACTGCTCACAAACTGAATTTACTCTTCATCTAGAGTCTTTAACTTTTGATTTAGTGTTTCTATATTATCTACTTTTTGGATTTACACATCAAGACCACAAACTATTAATCATTAATCACGCAATGATCTTACTCAAGGATTCAATAATTTTAGGATCCTACTTCTTAATTAAATCTGTCCTTATTCCATGTAAATTTAAAGTTCTATGTAATGTTTGAGACAATTACTTTAATTTACTTATTTTCTTGATTTATTGTGAAATTTGTTGAGGAATTCACCATAAAGCTAACGTCAACATAGTTTTTCCTATATTTTTCAGATTAGATTGAGCCTGAAAAGTAGATATGTCCAAATCTGTTTCCTACTTCTGGCTATATTTTGAATTGTATATGAAACTAAGACTTTCCAGAATTCTTGAGCATTACTGGAGATATATCAGCAGGATCATCTTAATCAGAAATCTCCCAAGTGCCTTGATATATCCCATCATATTCCGTCATATTTGTCAGATACTACCTGAAAATTGCAGTTTAGCACTGCTCAAAACTATCCATGGAATAGTAAAATAACTCTGAGTTGTTTGACTTCTGTTCTTCAGAGTATGTGAAGCATTAAGCAGTTGAAGTAAAGTTTTCAAATTTCTCATCTATTATCAGATCTAGCTTATCCTCTTCTTCCTCCTCGACTGAGTAATCAGTAGCTGATTCAATCAACAAATCCTCTATAAGCTCGTCTTGCAATTATCTTCGATTGATTATCTCATCATTTATCACTTGCTAATTATTGTAAGAAAGTAATGGTTTGAATTGATAGAAGCAAAGAGTATAGTTTAAATAAAGAAGCAAAAGCATAATGCTTAGTATAAATACATTTGAAAACTTTAGCATTATTTTCCTCATTAATATTTTAATTTTTATGAAATGATAATCATGATATTTATATAACTCAGAAACTTTAATAATCATTTAGTTTATTGGACTTTATTATCATAATTGGGGTAGACTGCTGATCAGTTAATTTATTTCATTAACTATAAGCTAGTCAAAGTTCTATTCTTTTAGTATTGATTCAAATTAAGTTTGGATTTCATAAGACTACCGAAATAGCATCAGTTATTACTTGTCAGAAATATTTATCGCATTATTTGTTAGATTTTAATTTATTATTTTAATTTAAACTTCATTTGAAACAATCTAGCTTGAGTTAACGGCAATAATATATGGCAGCATTTTTAATATATCTTTGCTAAAGTTTATCCTTTAGAGTGAAAGTATGATTTAGATGGAAATTTGTTGGATTAATAATAGCTAAGAGTATGCATAGTCAAATAAGGTATCACTATCAATCACTATATTTTCAAATGCAATCTATAATATCTCACATGTATCATCATAGAAATGAAACTAATTTATTCTAAACTAGATATCCTTTAGTACAACTTATTCCATTTGCTAAAAATCCTTAAATGTGAAAGATAGATTACGACAGGCAGATTTTTCAATAATTTTTAAATTTATGGGTTCAACATCCTAATATTTTGATGAAATAATTACGCAGGTTACGGCTAGTAATTATAAATATTTATCGTCAATCATTCCAATCTCCATATGCTAAGGGATCTTTATTACTCTGCCGAAAATGTCTAAGGCTGTTATTATTGTTAAAAATGAAGAATGCTTGTAATCTTTAATTATCCTAATTATATTCTTCATTGCTCTTTATATTATTGGTTCAAAATGTTCTTCATAAAATAAATTTGTTAATTTTATTTACTCCAGTTCTCCAGTAATCTCGCCTAAGTATTTTTGATAATTTAGGGATTCAATTTTGCTTTGATTATTGTTATTTATTTAAATGGTGTTATTTATAGATAGCAAGTATGATTTTTTATATTATTTCCTTCTCAATTAATTATCAAGAGATGATAATCCATCTTTTTTTTTCAAATTGCAAGTTTCATTTAGTTTTTATTCGAAGTCATTCTTTATTATTAAGATTTGATTATGAATATTTGATTTAGAATCCATTTACTCAAACATTTTTCTTCCCCTTTACATAGACTCTATTAAATTCTTGGGAATATTTTAAGGAGAGCAAGTCTTGATCAAATTGACAAACTTCCTCTTGATAATTGACTTTGATTTAATATTTTGAAGCGATGGTTACGATTGATCAACTTCACCTTTGGTGTGATTACTGAACTAATGAATTCTCTGATTCAATTGCTAAAATTATAAGTAATTGTCTGAGCCCTCATCTAGCTCATCACGATTTAATTAAACTATTGAGTCCATTTGGAGAACAGATTTAATTATCGCTTTGGATTCTTAATTTCTTTGGTTTTATTCTAATAATTGTTGCTTATTACTTTCATTTTTATTTTTCTCGAGGTCCATAACCATTAGGGGGTCAAAAATTGATAAGACAATTTATCTTGCGCTGAGCTTAGTAATTATATTTTAATGTATTAATTAATGCTAATTAAAACAAATATTAAGATCCTATACTTATTTTAAATTGCGTAAATTATATCAGGGATCCCAGATAATATTTTTGCATTCACATATCATCGATTAAAGCATGAATCTATCCAGTTGGGGTTTTGGGGTTTTGGGGTTTTGGGGTTTTGGGG